ACACATTACTGACCTGAGGTGACACAATACTGACCTCAGGTGACATATTACTGTCTTGAGGTGACATATTACTGTCTTGAGGTGACCTATTACTGACCTGAGGTGACACATTACTGGCCTGAGGTGACACATTACTGACCTGAGATGACACATTACTGACCTGGGGTGACACATTACTGACTTGAGGTGACACATTACTGACTTGAGGTGACACATTACTGACCTGGGGTGACACATTACTGATCTGAGGTGACACATTACTGACTTGAGGTGACACATTACTGACTTGAGGTGACACATTACTGACCCGAGGTGATACATTACTGGCCTGAGGTGACACATTACTGACCTGAGGTGACACATTACTGACCTGGGGTGACACATTACTGATCTGAGGTGACACATTACTGACTTGAGGTGACACATTACTGACTTGAGGTGACACATTACTGACCTGGGGTGACACATTACTGATCTGAGGTGACACATTACTGACTTGAGGTGACACATTACTGACCTGGGGTGACACATTACTGATCTGAGGTGACACATTACTGGCCTGAGGTGACACATTACTGACCTGAGGTGACACATTACTGACCTGGGGTGACACATTACTGATCTGAGGTGACACATTACTGACTTGAGGTGACACATTACTGACTTGAGGTGACACATTACTGACCTGAGGTGACACAATACTGACTTGAGGCGACACATTACTGACTTGAGGTGACACATTACTGACCTGAGGTGACACAATACTGACCTGGGATGGCACATTACTGACTTGAGGTGACACATTACTGACTTGAGGTGACACATTACTGACCTGAGGTGATACAATACTGACTTGAGGTGACACAATACTGACTTGAGGTGACACATTACTGACTTGAGGTGACACATTATTGACCTGAGGTGACACATTACTGACCCGGGGTGACACAATACTGATTTGAGACATATTATTGACCTGAGGTTAATTTCTGAGATTTAAATGACAGTATTTTATTTTTTTACTTGTAGGCTTTGTTAAACCTTGGAAGTTCTGATCCAAGTCTAAGGTCTGCTGCCTACAATCTGTTGTGTGCACTAACATCAACGTTTAATCTAAAGATTGAGGGTCAGTTGTTAGAAACCTCTGGACTTTGTATTCCTGCCAATAATACGATCTTCATTGTATCAATTAGTAAAACATTAGCTGCTAATGAGCCTCATCTAACTCTTGAGGTAAGATTTAAATAACCTGTCATTTTTGGATAGAAATCTGAAATGACTTGGAGTTCTTCTTTTACACTCAATTGGACGGTTAAAAATAGCTTACTTGTACATATTGGTTTGTTTTTATTAGTTGAAAATATTGTTGACTAAATATTTGTCATTTTGGGGTCTATTATACTTCACATGTAATATAAAACTACTTCCTGTTTAATGTATACAGCCATTTGCGGTATATTAAGTCATATTTCAGATATGCTGAATTGTTCGAGTTACGGACATCGAGTTTAACGAACATTGAGTTCTTAAAACAACATTGAGTTAAAGAAATGACCACGCCCATATTTTTTAAACCACGCCCAAATTGTAACTCAATGTTCAACAGAACTTTGAGTTACGGGCAACATACTTATTGTTTTTTGTTGAACGTTCACATTCCGTAACTAGAACTTTAGATAACATTTAACTAAATTTCGAGTTACGGGCAACATATATTTTTTGTTTTGTTTAACTTTAAAATTTTGTAACTCAAACTTTAATTAACTTTAATTATTCAAACTTCAGTTAACTGAAGTTACATCAATGTAGATTTTTATTATTGTTCAAACATCCACATACCATCATTCATTTTTAACCATGCATTAAGCTTGCTTGTTTCAACTTTAGGGCTTACTTCTTTGAAGTAACTGTTAACTGTTAATTGAACATCGAGTTGCAATTCGGGTGTGGTTTCACAAAAGTAGGCGTGGTTTCAAAAATATGGGCATGCACATTTCTGTAACTCAATGTTTTCGTAACTCAAATGTTTGTAACTTAATGTATGTAACTCGAACAATTCAGCATCTCTATGTTTCATGAGACGAGCAGTTTGTAATATAAAAATCTTCTTCAACTTCTTCAAATATTTTGTTTTGGGTTGGCTTAACACCAGAAATGTGAAGATTTTGACCACACAATAAACTGTGTTTGATCTATGTATGACAAACCACAGATTTGGTTGGTCAGGGAAATCAGTTGCTCACACCATAAAAGGAAATTAATTCTTTTGTCCTTACTTTTGTTTTTCTGTGTCGATTGATAAGGAACCTTCAAGATTATGACGATTATGTTAAATGAAGAGATAAATTTTGACAAGGAAAAAGTGTTTATTTCAACTTAATTTATTAGCATGACATATTTCATGTACATTTTTAGTCCCCGTTCAGTCGTAGCCTGAAAGACGACTATTATTTCTTATTTCTGGTTTCCTTCCGTCCATCCCCTTTATGTCTCCAACATATTCTCAGAAATTCTGCAGCAGATATCAATGAAACTTGGCAGGTTGATGAACAAGTCTCTGTTGAATATGCACATAATTTTTTTTTCCAGATTTGAAAACCCTATGTGGGTCTTTTTCAAGATTTTCATCCAAAATTACCTCTCCCTACTGCACTGAGAACAACTGAGCATGCTCAGAATAAATAATTAGCTTAGATTGCATACCTTGATCTGAATCAGTGACAGATGGGTCGTAACATTACATTCTCAGTAGAATATGTAGAGGGGTGTCAGGGCTACATTTTGATGGGAAATAATAGTGGTGATAATGAAACAAACCCAGGTCCTGGTAATATACAAAGACCAGAATTAACAAAGAAGTCAAGTTGTTATTAAGGTATAGATGCATGTTCGTGGGCATTCGGAGTGATTTTTTTTTTTTTTTTTTTTTTTTTTTTTTTTTTGCCTTTCTTACCCACAGTCTTGGCTAAATTGGGTTCAAATTTCGGAACATTGTCAATGCTGGAACCTGCCCAAAATGGATTTTAAAATATAGGGAATCCAGGCACGCGTATGTGATTAAAAGTCCCGAAAGTTTGTTTACGTTGCTCTTTGATTGACAAGTCACTGTGATGTTATATGCAAATGAGTTGCTGGCCTCAGTTACGGTGGTGGCGATGTGTAACTTCCTGTCCGCGACCCTGTTAACTTACCTCAAGCGCTACCAACTAATCTTGCAAACTACAAAAAAAAAGACAAGACGTAGACTCT